CACAGCAGCATCGGGAGGGGGTCCAGATCTCCAGGGAAACATGTGAAAACGCACACGACGTCGGGGTCTGGGTAGGATGGTGACGTGGAGGAGCAGCACGAGGAGGAGGAGGAGGAGGGAAAGGAAGGGAGGGGAGGGGGCAGATGAAGAAGCCAAGCCGAGCCTCGTATGGGCTCATGGGGCCCCGGATACGGCCACGAGGCCAGTCCTCGAGGCCAGAGGACCCGCGCTACGCCAAGCCGGGCAGAGGCCGACCCTCGGTGCGGCCTCGATCCCTGGGGCGCCAAGGGGGGGGCAAGACGGGCAGCCGCTGCGCCGAGGTGCGAGCTCGCTCGCGCTCCCGGGAGGCGCACCCCTCCCCGCCCACCGCCCCGCCCGTCCCTCGCCCACGGGCGGAAGCGCGGGGAACTCCGGGGGAGGGGGGGGGGGAGGAGTCGACCTGCAGGTCGCCTCGCCGCACGGCGTGCTGCGAGGCATGCCGACGAGGAAAAAAAGGACCCATCCGCCTCCTCCCTCCTTCCTTCCTCCGCCCCCTCCCACCCCACGGGAAAAAACTGAACCGACATTTGAAAAACTCAACGAAAGGAGGCCAACAACAAAAACGCACACAACAAAATAAAACAACACCCCGGCCTGGGCGGGGGACCAGCCAGGCCTGACGATGAAGCCGGCGGGGGTGCTCGCGCCACGTTCCCGCCACTACGACGTGTGGCCCCAGGCATCTGACCAGCCAGAACCGAGAGAGTCGTGTTCCTCCGCCCCCTGGGGGAAACCGATCGTATAGACGAACTCTCGAGAGGGGTGTCGAATCCGACGGGTCCCCCAAGGCGGTAAGGACCACGGCTTCCCCAGTTGGGGCTCGTCTGGGCCTAGAAGCGGCTGGAGGGTCTGAGCTGCTTGGGGCCCCGGAAAAGCGGCCAGGAGGCGGGGGGGGCTGAGGCCAAAATCGGTCCCCGGACCCCTCCGCCGAGGGCCCACCTGGCGCAGCTTCTCGCCCCCAGGCCCCTCCGCTTCACGGGCCCGCCGCGCGGTGCCGTCCGTCCCCCCGGCGCCCCGCGGGGCCGCGGGCCTGGCGCGCGCCTGGCGGCCGCGCGCGCACGCCGCCGCCGCAGCCCATGGGCGGCGCGGGGACGGGCGCGCGCGGGGGGGGGGGGTCCGCACCGCTCGGCCTGCCCGTAGGTCGGGCCTGTCCCCCTAAAGGGGGATTTTGGACGAAGAAACAGACATACTCCAAAATGAACCAAATACGCAAAAAAAATCGTCCGCTGATTATTTTCTACGATTCTTGAATATTCCTCCTGTAGAGGGACACGCCTGACTTGAGCCTGCCCCCGAAGTGAGGAAAGGAGGAGGCCTCCTCGGGAGGCGGTGGGGCATCCCAGGAAGCCCTGCGGCCTTGTGATATGTTTTCTGTGTCTTCGAGCGCGTTCCACCACACGCAGAGTAGCTGCTCGCAAATGGCCTGGATCCGCCACAGGGGATGTACGAAGTATTGCGCAAAGGCAGACGCATGGTTTGCTGACGTTTGCGAGTGGGCACTTTGCGAGTAGTGGAACGCCATCGGCGAGGGAAGGCTGAGAAAAATGTTGAGAAGGCTGGGGGGCTTCCGAGCCATCGGAGAAGGGCCGCGCACCGTCTCGCTTCAGAACCCCGGGCTGGCCGCTGACCCTCTCCTGTGGCAACTCATGGGAGCCTCCTGGGGGCTCCTGCGAATCGACGCTAAATCGGCGCTGGTCGACGCTTCCTCATCGATTACCAGACGCCAGCGCAGGCACACGGACTCGAAGGACGGAGTGGCGAGGACATGCCAGGCTCCCACGATTCGCCACCGAGCCCATCCCCACTGGCACGACCTGGGCCCCTCTCCTCTGGCCGCTTCCCCCCCCAGATGGGGATATGTGCTGTTCCCTCGGGGTTTCTCGGGAGGTAGGAGAGGGGTCTGGTAGAAAGGGGTGTGGTGCTAATTTGATGTAAAGGGGAATCTGGCGCTGTCATGTATCGCAGGTAGCATCGCCATTTCCACGATTCGCACCATACCCCTTTATGCCACACCCCTTTCCAACCTCCAGAGTTTCGCAAGGCCTGTCCCCATCCTTTGCCAGGCTGAGACACCGTGGCCGAGTGGGGAGCCGATATACCGCGGCCCAGTGGGCATGGGGATCAGAAACACGATACCGATGGGGGGCCGGCTCGCCGCAACGGGGGGGGGTGCTGCACTGCTCCCGAGCTGCGGGCGGGGCTGCGTTGGTCGGTCGGCCGCGGCGTTGTTCGTTCGCTCCTGCCTCCGGGTGGCGCTCTCCTGGCCGCGCGGGCTCTCCTGGCCGCGCGGGCCGTCAGAAGCGCGAGGCACACCTCATCAGGCTCCAATGTTGTTGGGACCAGCTCGTGTGAGAAGGCAGTCATCGGCGACAACGCAGGGATCCGCTCGCGCGCGACGTGTCAATGGGTGCAAGGCTTGCACGGCAGGCCGAGGGGATTGCTGGGGGCCCACGTCGCCAGCTATCTGTCGAGAAGGGCTCAGGTTCGCACCCGCCTCAAGAAGGGCCTTCAAAGCTTAACTTCGTCGCCCAGGGACGGCCTGGGGTGGAGGAAGCTTGTCGTCGTCGGCTGCGCTCTCTGTCTCATAGAGCAGCAGATCAGGGTAGCAGATTCCTCGTACATAGCAGAAACCTCCTCCTCCTCCCCTCCTCCTCCTCCTCCTCCTCCTCCTCCTCCTCTCCTCCTCCTCCTCCTCCTCCTCCTCCTCCTCCTCCTCCTCCGCGTCTCCTTCTTCTCCTGCTCCCTCAACTCCCATTATCCTCGTCCTCCTACTGCTCCGCCCCCCCCCATCCTTCCCCTGCCCCTACTCCCCCTCCTCATCCTCCTCCGCATCCTCATCCTCCCCCTCCTGCTGCTCCACCGCGTCCTCCGCCTCCTCCTCCTGCTTCACCTCGCCCTACTCATTCTACGTCGTCGTCGTCTCCAGGGTCGGCGGCACCGGCTATAAAGCCTTCACAACAGAAACATGTAGAGTTTAGGAGGCAACTCATGGGAGGTCTTCGTCAGAACGCGGCCTGGGTAGCTCGCATGCCTTTGAGTACGCGCCCGATGCGCTCTGTGCAGGCGCACGAGCTCGCCTTGCCGAGCTGCTCGTCGTGGCCACGAGGCGGAGGCCAACAAGCACGAGGGCCAGAGACGGGGGGGGGGGGCAGGGACAGCAGCCTCCCGAGGGCTGCGCGGCAGCGTGCTACCATCACCGTGCTGCCACAGGGAACGCTGACGGGGGAAGGAATGGGCTTGTCTGACCTAGGCGAACCTCGGCGGTGGACAGGTCCCACGACCCAGAACAAGGGACCGGCCCGAAAACCGGAGCCCCTGCTGAGCCCAAGGAGGTCCTTAGTTCAGCGTCTTGACCGTACACACACACACAGGGGTGCAGGGGGAGGGCTAGCGCACATCTTTAGGACTATCGACAGAAAACGAGCCGAATCCCCCTCTTCGATGACACCGAGGGCGGCGGCGGCGACGACCGCGCGGCGCGCGGCGCGCGGCGCGGCGCGCTCGGTGCTACGTTGGGCCTCGCGGTCCTCCCGCAGCGCGGACGCCGCGTAGCGCAGCGCCTCGCCCGCCTGGGCCACGGCCGCGAGCACAACCTCTGTGAGGGCGCTCGGGGAAGGCAGAGTCGGTCAGCATCGCATCGGGAGATCGGATCGAACCGACATGTGCATCGGATCGGGCTCCTCCTCCTCCTCCTCCTCCTCCTCCTCCTCCTCCTCCTCCTCCTCCTCCTCCTCCTCCTCCTCCTCCGCCGGCGCGGAGTCGGAATCGGATCGAGTCTGCCGCGACGGGATGCACAACCACGTGCAAGCATCGGGCAGCAGCGGAGCTTCGGAGCACAGGAGATCGAACCGGATCGAGCCGGGCGAGATCGATGACGAATCGGAACGATCGGATCGAAAGGGGCCCTGGGGAGCAAAGCACAAACCCGCATGGGACGAACGGAGGTGGGGTGGGAAAGGGAGTTGGCGAGTCAGGCAGCTCCCGGCGCCATCCAGCGCCAGAGGCGCCGATGCATCGAGTAAAGCGGCGGCGGGGACGGAGCCAGCTCCATGCACCAGATTTGGTGCCCCCCCTTCCCCTACCCCAATCCCCTTGTCCGACCCGACAGGCGGGGGGATGAGTTTGAAGGCGAGAGCCCCCAGGTGGCGGAAGCACTCTGCTCCTGGACGGACTGGGTGATGTCTGAACGGGGGCACAGCTTGACGGGGGCGAAGGCTTTTCCATATGCCCCCGTCCAGTATGCCCCCATCTGCGGCGCCCAGGGCCCCCAAACAAGGGCACAGCCAAACGTGAAGTCGGCGTTCCCCGTGCCCCCGCTTGCTGTGCCCCCGTCTCCAGCGCCGCGAAGGACGCGCCCCCTCACCCCGCCTGCCTGGCTCATCCCCACCCCACCCCACCGTCAATCTCTGGCGGCGCGCACGCGGTCTTGGCCGACGCCGCCACCGCCATGGCCGTCGTCGGAGAGGGCGGCTTTGCTGCCTGCCGCCGCCGTCGTCAACATTGTTGTCGCCATCGTCGACGCCGCCGTCGCCGACGTCGAAGAGGTCCATCGTCGCTTCCGCCGTAGCTGTCGCCGTTGTCGCCGGTGTCGCCGTTGTCGCCGTCGCTTCCGCCGTTGGCATCGCCGTCCTCGAAGAAATCGTTGACGTCGTCGTCGTTGCCGTCGTCGATGTTGTCGTGGACGTCACTTTGGAAGGTTGTCGGCACCAGGGCCGGACGCGGCTGGGAACGCTGCTCGGGGTGGACCCCGGGAGGGGCCCGGGGACCAGCTTCCAGCGGAGCCTGCGGCCCTCGAGGACGCCTACCAGGCGGGAGCGGACTCCTGCAGAGGAGCACAGGAGGGACAAAAGCATGACCTGCGGGAGGCCCGCGCGGACTTCTTTTGGGCATGCGCGCCCCGTCGGGCGCGCCCCCGGCGGCGCCGCTGGCGGGGGGGGGCCCAGCGGCGACCCAAGGCATCCGCGCGGGCCTTGCTCGCTCGACTGCAGGCTCAGAGCGGGCGGGCCCTCTGAGAGGGCTCAGGGCGCCCCCCTGGCCTTCCGATGACCCAGGCCTGCCTTGGAGCCCCGCCGCCTTCTGAGAAGGCCTGCCCCTTCAGAGAGTCCGCCACGCGGCGTGGCGCCGAGGCCTGCTCAGCGGGAGGGCAGAGAGGATGAGAGGCTAGGGGGGGGAGGAGGACGAGTGTGCGTCGTAGAGCGAGGCGCAGAGCAACCGAGGGCGGGTTCGGGTGGCGTGCGTGCTGGCTGCAGTTCCTGTCGAGGGGCGCACAGCCAGTCCTTGGGCCAGCCTGCTGAGGTAAAGCCGTACTGTTCTGGTGGCCAACTGGCACCAGTTTTGAGGAACTTCCCCTCAGTCCTGCCACGGTGAGAGCCCCGGCCTCGGCGTACTTCGCAAGCTAGCACCCGTTCCCGCCGAGCCCCCCTCCCCATGTCGAACCACTTCAGACAATGTGATGGGTGAGCGACCGCTAGAGGGGAAGACGAGGAGGCGGAGAGGAAGAGGAGGAGGAGGAGGAGGAGGAGGAGGACGAGGACAAGAAGCGAGCCCCTCCTCGTCCTCCACCCTCCTCCTCGTCCTCCTCCTCCTCCTCCTCCTCCTCCTCTCCTCCTCCTCCTCCTCCTCCTCCTCCTCCCCTCCTCCTTGTCCGCATCGCTCCAGAAAAGCCTGACACAAACACAGACACCCACTCACTCTTTCGGCGGTGCGCGCGGATTTCCTGACTCGGCGCTGGGCCCCCCGGAGCGCGCCAGGGGTGGAGCCGGAGGCGCGACCCAGGAAAGGCGGGAGGGGGGAGGAGGGGGGAGGAGTGTTTTGCGCGGCGCTTGGAGGCCATGTCTGGGCCTCCGGGAGCCGGCGGCGGAGCCCCTGGGGACCTCCGAGGACACAGAGCTCCAGCGACTGGGCAAGTCGGGCCAGAGGCCAAGGACCTTAAACCTTGAAAATGGATCCTTCTTGTAGCGCTTGAGCCATTCACGCAGGAGGCCAGGAATCTTGATCCTCGATCCTGCAATAATCTCGACCCTCAAAAATCCCTCCTTCATCTCCTGCCTTCTGCTCCTCCTCCCCTCTCCTCCTCATTATTCCTCCTCCTCCTCCTCCTCCTCCTCCTCCTCCTCCTCATCATCATCATCATCATCATCATCATCATCATCATCATCATCATCATCATCATCATCAGCAGCAGCAGCAGCAGCATCATCATCAGCAGCAGCAGCATCATCATCATCAGCATCATCGTCATTATCATCATCATCATCATCAGCATCAGCATCAGCATCATCATCCGCATCATCGTCATCAGCATTAGCATCATAATCATCATAATCATCATCACCAACATCATCATCAACATCAACATCATCATCATCATCATTATCATCATCATCATCAACATCATCATCATCATCATCGTCATCATCATCATCATCGTCGTCGTCGTCATCATCATCATCAGCATCATCATCATCATCAACATCATCACCATCATGATCATCATCATCCGTGAGTCTCCTTCCTCCTCCCTCTCCTCCTGATTTTACTCTCTTCAACTCTGTGTCCCTCCTCCTTTCCCTCCTCCTCCACCCGTCCTTCTGCAGTAGGTGGAGGAGGAGGAAAGAGAGGGAGAGTGAGAGGGACAGGAGGAGAGCTGCAAGAAGGCTTTCGGATATTATGAAATATCCCCCTCTTCCCTCTCCTCCCTTCTCCCTCGGCGCATCCCTCCCCACCTCCGCACACATGCTGCGTAATTATGGATGTAGCATTCCCTGACACAGGGGCTGCTCTCTAAAGACTTACGAGGACCGCTATTTCTGTCCTCTTCCTCCTCCTTCTCCTCCTCCTCCTTCTCCTCCATCTCCTGGCACGTGGTGGAGCGTCTCCATCGACGACTCTTTTGACCAACTGGCACGACTAAACTCATGACATTGGTACCCTGCTTCAGGATTTGCAACCCCTCCACCCGCATGGAGCATTGGTGAGACATCCCCGGTGAAACAGCGCAGCACCAAAATGTAAGGCCCACCCCAGGTGACGAGGCGCTTGCACGTCGCCCTTGACCTTACGCTACACACGTTCACGATCAAAATCCGTAATCAGATCGACTGCGGATCACAAAATCAGGGAATCCGACCGACTACCCCATCAGCTCCCGGAGCCTCGCCTCAAGAATCGTCCCGAGCTCGGTGGCGTCCATGCTCCCAGCCACGGCGGCCCACTTCAGGTAGATGTGGCCGGGCTTCCCAGGGGCCTGCACTCTTGCTTTCAGCCTGCAAGACGCAGGTTCGACTGGCCGGCTCTTGACGCTGTCAGCCAATCGCGCCGCCAGCGCAAGCACATCGCCAGCGCAGATCAGCGTGGCGGTGCCACTAGGTTCTGTCTGCCGGGATGGCCTGGGATTGGTCTCCACCTTCATCAACGCACCCTCGAAAAACGTCGCCTCGCCAGGACCGACAGCTCGTTCGTTCACCCCGCTCTGGAGGCAAACGACGCCACGCAATGAAAGCGGCGGGATGACCTCGGAGACAGTGCAACTGCCAGGATCACAAATCACCTGCTTTGCAAACACTGGCTTGATGTCCGGACTGAGACACAGAGTAATGTGCGGCTTGGCTTCAGTACAAGGCACGTCTGCTGGCAACGCCACCTCGGCAAGAACTATTTCCTCGTGCGTGAATACCGAGGTAACAATGAACTCCACCTCTTTACCCGCAATGCTCTGCAGGGCATCCTGCGTTAGCTGAAAATCTTCGAGCGACAAGCCATTACTTGCAGCAGCTCCTACATCACCCTTCCCGCCAATGTAAAGAAGCGTTACGTGGAGGTCTTCGATAGACTTCAAATCTGGATTTGCCCACTTCCGCAATTCGCCGCAATCCTGCACGGCCAGTTTCCAGAAAAGAGGTACTGTGTGCGACATTGCTTCCTTAATCCTGCGACATCGAGCCAAACTGTGTTTCAGACTCAGCCTGGGAAGCGGTTCTTGAGGATGACGAGCGTATACTGCGCCTCAGAGGCCATCGGATACCGAACACGCGAGATGGCACAAGTTGTCTAACACATGATGTTGTTTCACGTGTTTTGACCTCTCGGCGGTGTCCGTTCTGGGCACTTCCTCGGGCCCCGATCCATGCTCGATGCCAGGGGGCCAGCCCGCTAATCCGCCACCGTACCCCTGACACGCTGAGGCATGGAACGATGCCGAATGTTGCCCGGCAGGGTTTCCGCCAGTTTTTCAGGAGGGAGCAGTGGCTGAATGAAACACATTGGAGGTCCTCCGAAAAAACACGGGTGGTCCTCCGGAAAAACGCGGGCGTTTGGCTGAGCGAAACACAATGGAGATCCTCCGAAACCCTGGGGGACCCCCTCCCCGCGAACGGCAAACGAGCCCCACGGCGGGCACAGGGGATTTTCGGAGGCGGAGACCTGGGGACCCCCCCCCCGCTGCTGCCAGGGGGGTGCTCGGTTCCACGACGGCGCCGACAGCAACGACGACAACGACGAAGATGGCGGCCCTCGACGATAAGGACGGCGACGACGCCGCCGACGACGACGATAACGTCGTCAGCGACGACGACTGCCATGACGACGACGACAAATGCGACGATAAAGGACGACGACGACAAATGCGGCGATAAAGGACGACGATAAATGACGACGACGACGACGAACTCGACGACGATGACGGCTACCGCCGACAAAGACCACCAAAATCGCCAACAACCACGATGACGACGACTGACGACGACGGCCGATGACCACGACCGCCGACAACGACCACCGAGGACGCAAACGACGATGCAAATGACGACGACGACAAGAACGAAGCCGACGACGCCGACGCCGACGCCGCCGCCGCCGCCAACGACGCCGCCGCCACCAGCGACGACAACGACGACGATTGCGACGACCGACGAACGAGGACGACGACTGCCATGACGATTACGACGATCACAACGACGACGACGACGAGGAGCACGACGACGACCGACCGCGCGCGCGGGACGTGGTTACTCGACGCGAGATCCCCATATGTGTATGTATGTGCGTGGACCTTTTCCGCTGCGAGCGTCTGGGTACAAGAAAGTCTGGGTACGACAGGGTCTGAGCACCAGAGACTGAAAGCGGGTGAGTTTGAGCGTGGGTGAATCTGTGTGAGCGAGTCTGGGCGAGAGTGAACTGATGTGCATGAGGTGTGAAAATGGCGAACCTATGGGCAACTGCATCTAAGCGTGAGGGGTTTGAATGTTCGAGTGTAGGTCTGAGTGTGCGTGTGTGTGCGACTGGTTTCAAAGTGAGTGGTCTAAGTGTGACTGTGAATTCTCTGTATCTGAATGATAGCGGCCTGACTGTGAATGTGAGCCTGAGTCTGAATGAACCCGAGTGTGAGCTTCGGACCAGCAGATCTGGGAGTGGCAGAGTCGGAGCATGAGAAAGTCAGAGCGCGAATCAGAGCGCAAGCGAGTCTGCAAATAAACGGACCTGAAACGGAGCAAGGGGGGTGAAAGAGAAAGAGAGAAGGCACGTGGAAACACATGGTTTCACGCCTCCTTTTGCCTCTCTCGATCCCAGGTTTCGGACAGCGGCCCGAGGCCCAAAACCGTGCGGCCACACGAATCCCAATTGACTCACCACGCGGCGCGGCCACCGCACCGTTGGGGCCACCCCCCTTCGATCGCGGACGCGAAACATACTTGCCTCCACGGCCTCGCTCAACGGGACCCTGTGCCGCGACCCCGTGGATACGGGGCGTCTTGTTCGTAGATGCCCCGCACGGAACGTATCCGTGCGACCGCGTATCCACGGCTTCGCGCCCCAGAGCCCAGGCCGCGTGGGCGTGGCCGGTTCTGGAACCCCATGAACCCAACATTGTTGCCGTATCTTGGGGTCACATCCGCTGGCCGTCTGCCAGCGGAGCCGCCCTCGTTCTACTTCTGCCCCCTTCCGCCGCCGCCCTTCCGCCGAGGAAAAGATGGCAGCCGCTTCGATCCGCAAAGGCGAAGCCCAGTCGGAAACGTCCCACATTCGGGCGTTGGCGGATCTGGGTCTCGTGGGACCTTGTTGAGTCATGTCTACCGGGGGACGCCCCCTCCGCCCCATTCCAGTGACCGGAACTGCCGCCACCCGGGAAAAAAAAAAAACAGCGACGGCAGACCTGGTGTAGCGATTCTGGCTCAATCTTGGGGGGCTCCGGAGCCCAAATCACTAACCGCCTCCCCTCACCTGGGGTCCTGGTCGTATCCGACACATGCTCGGCGCTCGTGCTTCGGCAGGCGACGCCCCCGCTCTCGCCCACCCGGCCCCCCGTGGAGGGCGCCTGCCGGTCCGCGCGGATGGCAGGCGGGGCAGCCTGCGCACGGGCGGGCGGGCGGCGGGCAGCAGCGACGGAGCCTCAGGAGGGTACATGCGCCAAGACCTCCGAGGGGCCGGAGATCGTAGGGGCTTTCGGGGGGCAGGCAAGAGGATCCAACACGTTGGCGTTCGTGGTGATGGCTCGGCCACCCAGGAAATCAGGGTATCGCCACCATCGCCAAGATCGGGATCATCTTTCCTCGGTGTGTTGGTACCAATATTAGTATGGGTGCCAACCTCAGCGCCATTGCAACCTCTTCTTCTCGGCTGCCAAGTTCTAGCTCTTCCCGAATGTCCGCCGCAGTGAGGCCCACTTCGCAAATGCTGAAAAATTGCATTGCGAAGTCGTATGTTCGGTCTATCAATTGCCCATGCGCAGCACGATGTGGTCCCAGCTCTACCCGTGCCCTGCAACATTTTCAACATTTTGACACCATTCGAACTACTTTCAGCAACTGTACCTGCATCATTGTCTTGTTTTTCAAATGGTGGAAAATCACTGAGTCAGGTACCACCCGATGGCATGAGAGCAAATGGTGTGACTGATCAATATCCTTCGTTCCCAAAGAAACTCCCATCCTTTTCTGCTATATAGCGTGCACCTCTGTCCTGTCCTAATCCGTCCACCTCAACACCTCCCAGCCCTGCATGGTGCAGAAAGGTACTTGCAGCAGCAGCAAAAATGTGTAAACTGGTGCACTGCGAAATTCGGGCATGTGCGCGTCGTCTTCCCAATGGTGTTTAGCATCCGCATCCGCAGAGGCGGCATACAAAAAACAGCCATAGACTGAAATCAGATGTGTCCCAGTGTCCCTAACCCACCTAAAATTGGACTCGGGATCAGAACGGAATGCTCGGCATCAGACTATTCCTTCTCCTCCATGCTCCATGCACATCAGGTAACGAAAGAACGTGCAGCCTTAGCACCATTCAAAGCTACAAACTTTCAGAACAACTGCCTAAGGGATGACATCAAGATAGTCGTCTACGAGACCCGCCGTCCCCGCAGCGACGCCCTCAGAACTCGCCCATGGAGGTTTTCGCGACGGGGATCTTGGCTCAACCTCATCCGCCTCCTCCCTTGGCCAGGGCAGGAGGCTGTCCCGGCGGGAAACTCCCAGAGAAAGATCCTGAAACTTCTGCCACGGCCGGGTCTTTGCTCGAACTGTACGGCGGCGAACAGGAGGAGGAGGAGGAGGAGGAGGAGGAGGAGGAGGAGCACGCTGCAAGAAAAAACAAGCAGCGAGGGGGGGACGCAAAAGGCAGTCGGGAGGACCGCCTGCAGCACCAGCCCATCGGCGGCGACGCTGGCGAGCCAGCGGGACCGGCCGGCGGGGCGGCGCACGAGCAGCAGGCTCGCGGCGCCGTCCGGGAACAGGGACCCGACGGCCTCGTCGGGGTGCGCCCCCTCCCTCACCAATGTGTGATGCAGGGCGGGGCTGGACCTGAGCGGTGTGTTTCGTTTTCGTGTTGTCTTCGTGATCCTTCGTCTTGTATTCAACCCGCAGTTACCGCAGAACGAAGTCGAAACGAAAACGGCCCACGATATCGCCAGAACACCGCTTAGGTCCACCCCTGATCCAGGGCGTCGTCGTCGTCGGCCATGCCATCTGGGGCGGGCAAGCAAGGGCCTGGGGAACCCGCGGGGGACAGTCCCATCCAGGGGGGGGGGGCTGTGAACCCGAGACCCTGTATCACGATTCCTGACCCCTCCTCCTCCTCCTCCTCCTCCTCCTCCTCCTCCTCCTCCTCCTCCTCCTCCTCCTCCTCCTCCTCCTCCTCCTCCTCCCCCTATCCTCCTCCTACAGCTGGACTCACTCGAGAAGCAGGGGGCGGCGAGCAGGGGGCACCGAACCGTCACCTGCTACGGCCTTCTCCCCCCTGCGAAAGCAAGCTGTACCATGCAGACATGTTGCGGTCCAGGATCTCAGGAAGAAAGGTGCCACGCCATGGCCTGCATGGGAAAACACAAACATCACAGGTCACGGCATTCCAGAGCCTGCGGACGCGCGTGATACACGCTACGGCCCTCTGGAGCCCAGGGGCGAGGAGCCGCCCTTCCTCTTCGCCTTCGCCTTCGCCTCCTCCTATTCCTCCTCCTCTTCCTGCTCCTCTTCCTCCTCATCATCCTCATCCTCCCCCTATCACCATCATCATCATCATCATCATCATCATCATCATCATCATCATCATCATCATCATCATCATCATCATCATCATCATCATCATCATCATCATCATCATCATCATCATCATCATCATCATCATCATCATCATCATCACCTCATCATCATCATCATCATCATCATCATCATCATCGTCATCACCATCATCATCATCATCATCATCATCATCGTCATCATCATCATCATCATCATCATCATCATCATCATCATCATCATCGTCATCGTCATCGTCATCGTCATCGTCATCATCATCATAATCAGCATCATCATCATCATCCTCATCCTCATCCTCATCCTCATCCTCATCCTCATCCTCATCATCCTCATCCTCATCGTCGTCATCATCAGCATCATCGCCATCGTCGTCATCGTCAGCGCCATCGTCATCATCATCATCATCATCAGCATCATCCTCATCATCATCATCATCATCATCATCATCATCATCATCATCATCCTCATCCTCAGCATCATCATCAGCAGCACCATTATCATCATCCATCCTCATCTTTTTCCTCCTCCCTTTTTCTTCTGCTGCTTCTTCAGTCTCTACGTAGGGACAAAACAATCTGCGTAAACTTAACGTCTAAAGCTCCGAGACGATTTATTGGATCTGCGTTGGCCCCTCTCGCGGCGCCTCCAGCGCCGCCCCTGGCGCGCTCCGCGCGCCGGGGGAGGGGGCCTGGCGCAGACCCAAGAAATCCGCCCGAAATTCCAAACAATGTTGTTTATTCCGTTTGTTGTGTTTCGATGATCCTCCTCCGCCTGCCCCTTTTGCTTCCTTTTTCCAGCGCCCCCTGCTCCTCCTCGTCCTCCTCCTCCTCCTCCTCCTCCTCATCATCATCCTCCGTCCTGCTTCGCGCTTCGCCCAAATCCCCTCCCCCGGCGATGAGGCTGGCACGGCCGGAAGCGGGAAAAGTTCAGGAGAGGGTACAGTCGAAGTACTACCAGAAGGAACGCCAAATAAGGAACGAAGCCCCTTTCGGGCCCCAGAAGTGCGCAGATGCACGAGGAGGGCTATAGGAGCAGCCCCCCAAAAGCTCAAGGAACACCTCCCGGCCTTTAGGTGGTCCTTCTCTCAGCGTCTGGGCTGTATCAGCTGCACGCAGCAGGTTTCGCACATCCCCCCTCTACATCATCCCTCACTGTCGTCGGACCCGAGGCACGAGGCACGTGCGCGGCTCGAAGGGCGCCGAGGCACGTGCACGGCTCGAGGGGGGCCAGGGGGCGCAGTGAAGAAAGAAGGAAGACGAATGATAACAAGAAGAACAAGACAATCAATAAGGTAAATCTGAAAAATGAGAAAGAAAAAAAACAAAAAAACAAAAAAACAAAAAAAAATCGAAAACACGAATACGCATGCGAAGAAAACGGAACAGACGAAGAAGACGGGGCCACGAGATCCCGGATATCTCATGGCCGCAGCCACGACGTCCACACCCCCATGGAGCCTTCAGCCCCCTCGGCTGGGCAAACCACAATTTACCGATGCCGCTGCTCCCCGGACCTCTCCCGGGACGCGTTTTCTAACAAAGACTTTGAGAAGCGAATCCATAGCGGTTGGCGACGACGGCGGGAGGCCCCAAAAAGAGCGAAAACGGGGAAGGGTAGCGGTATGGGTACCTGGTGGGCTTGTTTTCCACCACAACCGCCACCATAAGCAGGAGGGGGAGGGGTTCCTCCTCCTCATCCTCCTCCTCCTCTTGTGCTTCTTCTTCTTCCTCCTCCTCATCCTCCACCTCCTCCCCCCTCCAACTCATGGTGGTGGTGGTGGGAAACAGGCCCGTCAGTACCTTTCCCTCCTCTGATCTGCGCGCACTTGGCAGCCTCCGCGTCCCGGAGCTCCACGGCGCCGGACAGGAGCACCTGGCGCCAAGGCGAGGCGGCGCGCCGGGGGGCAACCGAGAGGCCTGGAGTCCCATCATGCCCTCGGGGCTGCGGTCGCGTCGAGCGCCTCCTCGGGCCGTCCTTCCCCGCCTCTTCCCCTTCGGGCCGTCCTTCTCCAGCTCCAGCTCCTCCTGCTCCAGCTACACCCTACCCGCTCCTCCTCCTTCTGATCCGCCCGCCTTTCAGCTGCTGCTCCTTCCTCTTCGCCTTCGCCTTCGCCTCCTCCTATTCCTCCTCCTCTTCCTGCTCCTCTTCCTCCTCATCATCCTCATCCTCTCCCTATCACCATCATCATCATCATCATCATCATCATCATCATCATAATCAGAATCATCCTCACTATCAGCATCAGCAAAATCATCATCATCAGCAGCAGCAGCATCCACAGCATCAGCATCATCATCAGCATCATCATCATTATCAGCCTCATCATCATCATCGTCATCATCAGCATGATAATACAAACCAGCATCAGCATCGGCATTATGATCATAAACATAATCAGCATCATCATCATCAGCATCATCAGCATCAGCAGCATCCTCATCGTCACCATCACCAGCATGATCACCACAATCATGATCAGCATCAGCATCAGCATCAGCATCGTCAGCATCATCACTATCAGTATGTGCATCATCCACATCATAATCATCAACATCATCATCATCAGCAGCAGCATTAGCATCAGTTTCAGCAGCATCATCATCAGGATCAGCATAAGCATCAGCGTCATCATCAGCATCATCAGCAACATCATCATCAGCAGCAGCATCATCCGCATCAGTAGCGCCATCATCATGATCAGCATCAGCATCAGCATCATAATCAGCATCAGCATCATCAGCATCAGCATCAGTACCATCATCATCAATCGCAATTGTTCATCAGCAACATCATCACCAGCATCAACATCAGCATCATCAACAGCATCAGCATCGTCATGATCGGCATCAGCAGTATCAGCAGCAGCATCACCATCATCATCAACATCATCAGCATCATCAGCATCATCGTGATCATCCTGCGTCCCATGCCTCCTCCTCATCATCCTCCTCCTTCTCCGCCTCCTTCTCCGCCTTCTCCTTCTCCTCCTCCTCCTCCTTCTCCTCCTCCTCCTCCTTCTCCTCCTCCTCCTCCTTATCCTCCTCCTCATCCCCCTCATCCCTCCTCCCTCCTCCCTTCTCCCTCCTCCTCCTCCCTCCACCCTCGTCCTCCTCTTCCTCCTCTTCCTCCTCCTCCTCCTCCTCCTCCTCCTCCCCCCTCCAAGGGTTTTGTCTCTGTTTGCCACTGCACGTTCAGTAATACATCAATATGTATGTATGTATGTATGAACGAATGCATACACACATGTATATATACATATGTAGATATACATACCCCCTCCCCCACCTGACCAGGGGCAAACCCCGAACCATGACAACACCCACCCGCCATTCCCCGCCAACAAAAAAACATACAAAGTGCGCTGTGCGGCAAACTCTGGATCATGCGCGGGGTCCCCTGACACGTGCGGCACACCTCGCCACCGTTGCGCACCTGGCAGGCGTCTGCGATGGTTCCCAACGAATGTCGACGGCGGCCCCTGCCCATGCGGAGACTCAAGTGCTAAGTAATTAGTTGGTGGGAAGGCGGGTGGGAGTGAGCGAGACGGCCGTCCTCCGGGGGGGAGCTTGACCCCCCCCCCTACCCACAAGTTAGACGCTCAAGATGGCCTCATCTCGAATGTTGGGGCAGAGTGGGCCTTCCTGGGGGGACAAGGCTGATCCGTGCCGCCCCATTTCTACCCGCGGGCCTACAAGATGGTCCTAAGACGGCGCGAGAAGCCCCCAAGAGAGAGCGTGCCAAGAGGCCACAGGCGGCCTCCAAGAGGCCCCAAAAGGCGCCCAAGACAGAAGACCCCCAAGGGCCGGCACATGCCCCCCAAGACGCCCCAAGAGAGGCCTCTAAGAGGCCCCCGAGAGGCACTTCCAGAGACCCAAGGAGGCACCCAAGGGGCATCTGGCCCACTGAGGCTCCCTGAGGTATCCCGATGGTGCCACGCTTCACCGATAGGAAGCTCCCCAGAGCATATCCCCTGGCTGCGCAAGGCGTTGAGAGAATGTACATCGTTGGAGGCCCCTATAGGGCCCCATCCCTCGGGGCCCCATCTTAGGAGGCAACTCCCGGGAACTCTTCTCGGGAGCGGCCAAGAGGGGGGTGTCCAAGAGGGGGGGGGTGCAAATCATGGCCGGCGGCATGTGCGCGGCCCAGCGGGGGGGCCAGGGACGTAATGGAATGAGAAGAGGCGCCATGAAGTCTGGGGGAAAAACATGGCCCCCGCCATGATATCCACCCCCCTCTAGTCATCAACCCCCTCTTTGCCGCCCCCGATCTTCGTAGGAACGAGTAGAAGACCAGTAAGCCCGATGAAGGGGCCATTGAGCCCGATAAACCACGAATCAAGCCGGACGGATTAGGCAAAATAAAACGGAATTCAGCGGAACATCTGACCAGTGTTCGACAACGGATGTAACAGCGCCGATGTTGAATTCAACCTCCTCGGGGTTGCACCCTGCGAGACGCCACACGACTCCACAAGCGAGACCCTGCGGCCGGCACAAGCCCGCGTCGGTTCACAGTCAGTTCCTGACGGCGAAGCACGAGCTCCAGAGTGCAGGCAGTGTTAGGGAAACCAGTCAGTCAACCAGAGAGCCGATAGACCAAACGGCCGACCAGGCAAGCAGCCAGCAGCCAACCAACCAGCCAGCCAGCCAAGCAACCGACCAGCCAACATGCCATTCAGCGAGCCCGCCACCTCGCCAAAAAGCCAGAAAGCAAATGAACCAACCAGCGAGCCAACCAGCGAGGCAACCAGCCAGCCAGACAACCAGCTACCCAACCAAGTAGCAAGCCAGCTGGCCAACCAAGAGGCCTGCCATTCTGGGCACCTAGTGGGGCCCTCTCTTGAGCTCCTCTTGGGACCGCTCTTGGGCCATGCTGGCCTCTCCAGGCCGCATGTGGACCAGGAACCCAACGAACCCACCCCACCTGCCCCATGGTATATACGCTACGGCCCCCGATGGGCGGAGCGCAACGTGGAGGGCCGTACAATGCGGGCGCGGCCGCAAGAAACCCTCGCAAGAAACCCAACCCTGAAAACCCGCGCGCGGGGTGCACCCGAGGGGAAGCCCGGAGCACCCAGAACGCAGCAGCTTCTCCAACGGCTGCGGGGAGTCACCGCGCAGCGCGCGGAGCGAAGAAACCCGGGATACTCTCACGAAAAAAACACATGGCTTCTTGATGCGCGCCCCCACTGTAGGCGGGGTGGTGCCGTCTGCTTTCTGGTCAACCTCTTGGGCCCCATCTTGGGGCACCGCTCTTCGGGAGCGGCGAAGAGGGGGGTGTCCAAGAGGGGGGGGTGCAGATCATGGCCGGCGGCATGTGCGCGGCCCAGCGGGGGGGCCAGGGATGTAAAGAAATAAGAAGAGGCACCATGAAATCTGGGGGATTATCATGGCCCACGCCATGATATCCCCCCCCTAGCCATCACCCCCCTCTTTGCCGCCCCCGAGCTCTCTTCGGGCCGCGCCGGCCTCCCCGGGCAACGTGTGTGTGTGCGCGGCGCGCCGCCGGCCAGCGCGCCGCGGAGCTCTCCGCCGCTGGCGCTGTCCTGCAGAGAGCTCGCGCGCGCCGCCGCTGCTCGGGGGCCGCGGCTCGCCGCCGCGCTCCCCGGGGGCCAGGGCAGCATGCCGGCGAGAGCCAGGCGAGAGGAACGGCGGCGGACCGCGGCGTCGAGGCGCAGAGAGCGCGCGCGTGCCGCAGGGGATCTGTCCCTCGCCTCGAGAGGGTCAGAGGCGCACGAGCATCACCACCGGGCACTTCCAGAGGCGAAGAAGCACTTCCACAGTTCCGCAGGCGGCAACTTCAAAGGCGGCACTCTCGTCCAGTACCAGAGCGTATGGCATATAACCCGCGCCCGCCACCAGCCAACGGTAGAGGAAGGGTCCACATGCCAGTTGCAGCGGTGCGGGGGTCGCACACTCCCTGTCTCAGCGAAGAGGCTAGACTCGCTACTCATGGGTGAAGCGCTTGCAAGAACAGCCGGGATGGGGGGGGGGCGTGGAGAGGAAGGGGAAGCGGCAGCAGCAGGAGGGAGGGGTGAGAGACTAGGCGGGATAGGAACGAGGGGAATGGACTGGTAAGGAGCAGATGGAGGGCGACTAGTAAGGAGAAGGTGGAGGAACGAGGAGGAAAAGGAGGGCGACTGGTAGGGAGGGGGTAAATGAGAAGGACGCACCCGGCGACGGAGTTCGACACGGAGGCAGAACGGTGAAACCAAGAGGGAGACGAGGAGCACGAGGAGAAGGACGGGGAGACAGTGGGGCCAGCCCCAGGACTTGTCAAGGCTGGACCGCCTGGGGCTTCCAGGCACCCTCTTAGGGACCTCGTGGGCTCCTGTTCGGGGCGTTCTGGGGGTGTACTTTTTCTTGTTGCACATCGCGAAAAGGCGGGTCACCCCTGCTGACACAGCCAGGTCTCCCGCAGTGGGCTCACCAACCCGCCATCCTGGCATTGAGGATTACAGGTCCGCCACCGTGCCTTCAGAACAAAGTGACGTGCCCCAGGCTGGGCCCAGATGGCTCCAAAATGGCCTCCTAGATGGCCTCAAGATGGCCTCCAAGGTGCCGATACCCCTACTCCCTGGACCTCTCGCGGGGTGCGTTCTGACAATGATCTCGAGGCGAACCCAGCGGTGGCGACGAGGACCTTCCTGAAGGCCGAAAAAAGGGAAAACGGGCAAAGGGTAGCGGTATGGGTACCGTTTCCTCCTCTGCGGATATGACCCAGGATGGCTCAGCATAGCTTCCAACATGCCTCTCGGGAGTCCCAAGGCCGCCCAAAATACGGTGCCAAGTGGCCGCGCAGCCAGGAGGCCACATGCGAACCCTACCCCTGCCCCCAGCGATTTCTGAGGGGGAGGGTGGGGTGCACTTCGTTCGGGAACCCTAGCAGCCTCCCAAGTGCCCCCCCGAGAAACCACCACCCTTCCAGAGCACAGTTGGAGGGGAATCAGGGGGGGGTCCTCTCGCCGTTTCGCTCCCGAGGGGCGCCTGGGGCGTCTGGGGCGTCCAGACGGCTCCAAGATGGCCCAGGAGAGCCCCACAAAGGTCACTGCACCGACCTTGCAGACGTGTTGCGGCGGATTTGTGTGTGGAGTTGCGTCAACGCAAAACCCTTAAACAGCGAGTGGAAAACGCATTGAGTTTCATGTGATGAAAAGCCCCTTCTTCTTCTTTGCGATCGAGGACCTCTACGATTGCCCCAAGAGCGCCTCAAAGGCCCCCAAGAGAGACCCACGAGAGGGCACCGCAAGAGCCCAAAAGGCCCCGCAAACGGCCTCAGGATTGCCCGAGTAAGCTACCCAGAGGCTGCCATACCGAACAATCCGCGGGAAGGGCGCCAGGCTACCGACAGGATCCCGATCTTCGGTCTGACGGCTGCCCCCCTGCTTGGTTCCACTGCGTGTCCCCAGAAATCCCTTCTCATTGCAACTCGCCTGTGCGTTGTTGCTGGATTGGCTGGTGGAGATACGCGAGAAAAGAAGACTGTCAGTGAGGGGGGCGATGCTGGCCCCCAGGAGCGACCGTAGATCTGTGGCGAAAAGCTGCCCAACAACAGGCCTCGTGGGGTGCCTGGCAACATGGCGATACCCACGCTCTCGCCGTCTGGATGTCGAGCTTTGATCCCACGGGCCCGTGGGTGCCCGATCCCGTTGGGCACGCTCCGCGCGGAACGCCGCCCTGCGTGCACAGGACCCGTGTCCGCGGGAGACGCCGCCCTGCGTTCTGCACGAGATCCGCGCAGAGAGCCGCGGGGCCGCGGCCGAGGATGTCCACACCCCTGGCCGCGGGCTCGGACGGTGCACCCCGCCCGCGGGCACCTGCTCCTCCAGGGGCACCCCGGCGCTCTCCTCGAGGAGTGCGAAAGCGCAGATGAGAGGAAACTCAGCACGAGGGAGAGGGGGGGGGCGTACGGGAAGCGAGGGGGGGGGGGGGGGGGCAAAAGCAGGAACAATGACACGTCGTCGCCGTGGGGGGCCTATCAGCGTGTTACTGGGGAAGAACTCCATGCTGTCGGACAACAACGACTGAGTAGCATGATTCTGGTTGACCCAAAAGGGGGTCCAGCGGCAACGAGGGGGTGGTGCAATAGATTTGGTGCAATAGATTGTGGGGTTGCAACAGATTTGGGGTGTGCAATACATTCCAGTGCGCAAATGTATTGCTGGGCTTTCGCGTGCAATCCATCTGTTGCAATTCAATTCAATACAATTCTCTGGCGCAATACGATTGCAATACAATTGCCACACATTCATCTGGACCCCCTTTCGGGTCGACCATACTGATGGCAGGAGCCCAGCGCCAACATGCCATTGGTGTTCACCTTCCCTCCCGCGACAACACGGGCCTTCGACTCCGGGCGGGCCTCCCCAGAGCCAGATCACAGGAGCAAACAAAAAACATCGGCACCACAACCGCCGACACAAGGAGCCGCACGTACGAATATCAGTATACATGCATACAGACATACATACAGACATACAAATACAGATATAGGCCCCCGGGGCCCGCGGGCATACCACTAGCACAGACAGCTAAGAGAAAGTTCTGGAAGGGCAACACAGCGATAACCCCGAGCACAGAAAACAAATGACGAAGGACCCAACCTTATGCAATCGGGAGGATCGCCGTTGTGGGAATCGCCTTCGGTGGATCTCCTTCTGCGGCAACGAAGCGTGTAAAGAGTGTGCCGCAATGGAGCGGGGGCGCTATGCGGGCGCTGCTACAGGGGCCTTAGATATACCCCCCGCCCTATGGGGCCTTCTTGGGGCTCTCCATGCCCCCATGACGGCCAGGGCCCGAGTGAGCGTCACGACCGTCCAAGATGGCCTGAAGATGGCTCACAGAGGCTGCAAGACGCTTCCAGAAGGCCCTAACATCAGCTTCCCAAGGGCCAGAACAAAAAAAAACAATCGGTTTCCCCAACGTGCATCGTTGATTTGTCATACCACGTTTCTGGAGTTCCGTCCGCTGAATCGGCCCAAGGAAGCTTCAAGATAGCCCCAAGACGGCCCACAAGGACCCCACCATGACCCAAGCGGTTCCCAAGGCGACCTCAACGCGGCGCAAGAAGGGCCCTGACGGTTGTCAGAGAGCGTCAAGCTGACCCTGAGGTATTCAAGACGACGTCGAATTCACGGCCCGTACTGAGTCAGACTAGTCGTCGGAATTGCTCTGCGCCTATACTCAGTCTCCGTTCTGAGGCAATGTTGCACATGCACGGTGGCGGAGTTTGCAGGGGGCAGCCGGATAGAGTAGCAATGGTATAGGAGGAGTGGTCGTAGTAATAGTACCCGTAGCGATAGCAAAAAAAATGGAAACAAAATATGTGTTCGGCGACCCTGTTGACGGATTGGGGTCCGACCAAACATGGGAAATCTGTATTTCTCCGCGACACCCGACGCACAACAACGATGACGACGACGAGATCAAGGAGCAGAGTGTGAACAACGCTTTGGACAACGCCTCTGTCGTGCAGGGCAGTCCGGGGAGCTTCCCTGGGAGAAAAAAAAACAACAATATCCAACCCGCCCAGCTATAGAGGAAAAATAATCTCCGCCGCGAAGACAAAGACGACGATTACGACTACGATTACGAATACGGCTACGACTACAAACACGACTGCGATTACGACTACAATCGCGACTACAATCACGATTGCAATCACGATTACAATCCCGACTACAATCAAGACTACGAAACCAATTACTGATTCATATTCCAATCCACATGAGAAGAGGTTCACACATTTTCTTGCGTGTAGGTAGCCCAGAATGGGACATTACATAGGAGAAATATTCCCCAAAACATGATCCAGCCCGCCCAAGAAGTAGAGGGAAACGTATCTCCGCCGCGACGACGACAACGAAGTCTACCATAACGACCACGAGTAGGCGCAGGAGCAGGAGGAGGAACAGGAGGAGGGGGGAGGAAGAGAAGGAGGAGGAGGAGGAGGAGGACGAGGAGGATGAGGAGGACGAGGAGGAGGAGAAGGAGGAGGAGCAGGAGGAGGTGCAAGTTTGTTAACCGCGGGGAGAAACGGGGGGTAGGCCAAAACTAAAAACCTCCTGGGGGTACTGACAGCATTCCTATCGGAGTCACATTTGAACCCGATCAGGCTCCTTTGGCAATACGGTTGAACTCCTATGGGGAGACTGTTGCGAGCCTCCTGGGATTTCCTACTCAGTGAGTTCATAAAGAGGATGGAGAAAAAGGATGAAGGGGCCAAATCGAACGTCCAGGGCGGGAAGTGATAAAATATCACAGGAGATATAATGGAGTGCATGGAATTTCCTCTTGATATTATATGCTGAGGCACGTGGGACTTCGACAGAAACATAGTGCATATGTTGTTGGACGTCTCACGCTCGCGAACCTACCCAGAAGACTGTGCGCCGTGCTGTGCGAGAAGGCCGTTGCGAACGTCACCGAAAGAAGACTACGGGTACCATTGAATCTGGAGGAGGCCACGGCCCCGGACATGATGCCCCATCCTCAAGATTTTGCTGCAGAACTACCACACCCTCCCCGCCCCAGACAGATTCCACCGTCCGGGGCCACTCACGGTATATAAAAATCACGCCCCAGGGAGGGAATTCTGTATACCAGACCCACGACCAGGACCCTCGCTCGCCGCCCGGGGCTTGTTTGGGTACGGCATATTTTTTGCTCGGGCGGATCCCACCCCTCGCCCCTCATCCTGGACGCCCCCAACTCTCTGGATGATACGTGAGCGTTCTCTTAGGGTGGAGGGCTCAGGGTGAAATCAACATGGGCTTTAGCACCTCGAAGATCAATCCGTCCTGTGATTCGCCCTTTGCGGATGCAAACCTCGAAAATCAGTCGAAACGGCGTTTCAGATGTCATCCAATTGCCCTCCACCCAAAAGCGAACGCTCGGGACACAGAGGGGGGGGCCACGAGGTGCGAGCACGTCTGCTCCACTGGACGGCTCCCGGGGCGCACTTTGACCAGGCCGTCGACGAGAACCCGGCCGTGGCCACGAGGACTCCCGAGGACGAGCCGCGGCGCCAGGGCCTCTCTCTCTGGAGGGACCAGCAGAGGGCCCCCGACCCTGTGAGAGGAAGCCTAAGTCAGGAGGGCCAAAGCATTCGGGATTGGTGTTCTGTTCTGCAGATGTGCCGAACCAAACCGCCCTGAACTATTATGCCTAATGCGAAGACGGGGACCTCAGTGGGGCCACGTCTGCATCGTGTGATTAGGGTTAGGGGTTCTTTTGCGCTCGATGGTTTCTGCTCTGAGGATACCGCAGGTCTCCTCGACGGCCTCCTTCAGGTCGCGGATGCACCAGGCCGGCCGCGCCTAGAAAAGGGAACAAAGAAAGGCAACACCACCACAAGCGCGAGGAGCCAGGGCGGGTGCTCCCCGCGGTGTGGTTCCCAGCCCCCCCCCTTTCGCTCGAGGCACCTCCGATCCCCAGCTCGAGGGAGCGTCGTGGACCTCCTCGCTGGAGGTGGCTCTGCTGGTCGTGGTGGCTTCGGACGGCAGAAATGGGCACGGAAGAAATGGGCACAATGCCCAACGAGCAAATGCTGTCCAAATCCGACAGCGGCCGCTGCTTGGCAGGCGGCTTTCTGTCTCAAATGGGCAACGTTCGCGGCGACGCCGAGAGCAAACCCTGTTCAAACTGAACAGGAACTGCCGTCGGTCTTCGAACACTTCCTCCCCTAATTAGAGAGCAGAAAACCCACCCTCACAATGAGCACCCCGACAAGCGAAGCCGTTCGTTCAGCAAACGCACCCCAGGAAGGAATCGGGCAGGACAGGGCTATCCAGTAAACGCCCATGGCCGTCTACCGGACGCCAATCTTCGGGGTCGGGGCGGCTTGTCCTCCCCTCCTCCACGCACTAACTCCGCTCGTGCGCGGTGGTGTCGCTCATTTCCTCCCTCCGCGCGCCTCCACGGCGCAGACGGGCCGCCCGGCGCCGTCCAGCACCCGCAGCTGCAGGGGCATGGCGCGGCGCCGGCTGCCGGGAGGGGGAGAGGGCAGCCGGCGCCCGCGCGCGCGCGCGCGGGGAGAGCGTGGGCGCGCGGCGCGCGCGGCGCCTGCCGACGGGCCAGCGCGCGGGCGCCGCGGTGCTCCCGGGAGGGGGGACTCTGTCGGAGGGATCCCTCGAGCTCCCTGCCGCCTCCGGCAGTGTGCCGGTTCCGGGCAGGAGCACGGAGGCCACAGAAAGGCGTGGCATCGACGGTGCAGCTCCGCCCGCGCGTCAGATGCCACAGCGAGCAAGGACACAGCCGAGCCCCAGGACGGCGAGGCATTGACAGTGTAGCTCAGCATCAACACAGCGGCCGGCAAGCAGATCCCAGGCGTGCTCAGATGGTGGCGAGGCTCTGCGACGACAGCGATGACAGCGACGACAGCGACGACGACGACGACGAGGACGAGGAGGATGACAGCGACGGCGAACGACGATGACGACGACAGCGACGGCGAACGTCGACGAAGACGACGGGAGAAGAAGAAAACGTAGGAGAAACAACCTGAGTGCGGTGCGCCCGCGCCAGAACTGACATCCTACCTCTCCCACCTATCCCGTTCCATGGCGCTGATTTTCTCTATCGCGGACGCGGGTCACAGCGGACCTGGGATCCCCAAAAAGATGCCAATCGTGACATGCGCAATCGGAAGAAGAGAGCTGCGAACGTTGGAGGAGGAGGTGGCAGAGGGGCAGGAGAAAAGGCAGGATGAGGGCGGAGGACAAGGACGAACAGCAGCAGCAAGAGCTGGAGTGAAGGAGCGGGAGGAGCAGGAGGACCAGGCGAAGGCGGAGGAGGGGAGGAGGGGGGCGACAACGATTAGGAAAGACTCGGATCCAGCAAAGTTGGCCGTGCTTGGGCGAAAGCGCCATTCTGCACGACGGGAGCAAAGCGCCGATCCTGACATGACGCCCACACTGCAGCGGCACCATCATCTGAGGGATCGAAAACGACGAGACACAACACAAACAAACAAACAAACACGATATCCGAATTGTGAAATGCAATACGAGGGGGTGGCTGCCCACTCCACGGCCATCTTCGGTTTCGGTGGAGCGAGGAGAGTAGCATACAGCATTCATCTTGAGAAAATGTTGAAGGGAAGCCTCCTGGCCAGGGGGCGGAGAGGAGGGGAAGGACAAGCTGAATGAGCTCGCGCCACATCTGACATCCTATCCCTTCCTCCCACCCCTTCCCGCTGCGCACATGTTCTCTCGCCCTTATCCTCCTTCCTCATCCTTCTCCTTTCGTTCTGCTCTTCCTCCTGCTCATCCTCCTGCTCACCCGCCACCCCATCCTCCAGTGTACACAGCTACCCTTTTCTCAGATTGCGCGTAACCCCATGGGGTCCTCTGAAGTGCCCCAAATCCGCCATGACACCCACTGGCGGATAGAGAACAGTTCGCGCTATGGGAAGGAGTGGGATCCTCCACCATTGTCCCCCTTCTCCTTCACCCCCTCCTCCTCCTGCGCCCCCCCCCCCTCCCCGCCCCCCCCCCGAGGAGGAGGGCAGCGAGGGAAGGCGTGGGCGGAGGCGAAAAGCCCGGGAGGAGATGGAGGAGGAGCACCAGGAGCAGGACGGGATGGCTGGAGCAGGCTGGCTCGCGCTGGTGCGACGTCTGCGCTGCGCCTCTGACACCGCGCGGGCCGCTGTGTCTCGAACGACCGCGGCCTTCCGATGACGCAGGTGAGAGGGGGAACGTCAGGGGGGGGCCCACTCAGGGGGGGGGGGAATATGGAGCTCCAGTCGGCGATACATCGCCGATCGATCGAACCCGCACCCTCCCGGGCGTGGTGGGCCACCGGACTTCTCTCGGCGATCAATGGGGGCTTGGGGGTACGACCAGCACCATCAGCAAGCCCACCTGTAGGATGAAGGGGTCGAGCAAGGCAGGATCAGTGACGGCTCAGCAAACCCCAATCCCGGACATCCATCGACATGATACTTTCCGTGTGCAGCCCCAGAGGTCCCGACCCATTCCCCGGGCGCAGTTTTTCGCCCCAGGCCCATTTTTGTCAGTCCCAGGGGGCGAGATCTAGGAAGCGCATCTTCTGGATTGGATCGGCGGCAAGCCCATGTTGGACAGTCCTGGGGGCGAGATCGAAGGAAGAGCATCTCTGGATCGGTTCGGAGGCAAGCGAAGGGGCGGGAAGCGAGAAGGAGAGAAGGCCTTCTATCGGAAGGCGGCCCGGACTTCTTAGCAGCCCTCGCGTCCTCGGAGAAGAGCTCGGCCACTGCGGGAACGGCTCAGAAGGCCGGGGGGCGTCCGAGCCATCTGAGAAGGCCCCCTCCCGCTCACTTCTTCTTATTATTATGACTACTCATTATTATTATTATTATTATCATTATTGTTAGTGTTATTATTAGTCATATTCATCATCATCATCATCATCATCATCATCATCATCATCATCATCATCATCATCATCATCATCATCATCATCATCATCATCATCATCATGATCATCATCATCATCATCATCAGCAGCATCATCATCATCAACATCATCAACATCATCATCATAATCATAATCATCATCAGCATCTGCATCAGCATCAGCATCATCATCACCATCATCCCCATCATCATCAGCAGCAGCATCATCAGCATCAAGGCCATCATCATCATCATCATCATCATCATCATCATCATCATCATCATCATCAGCATCATCATCATCATCAGTCTCATCATCATCATCATCATCATCATCATCATCATCAGCATCAGCATCATCACCGTCATAATCATCAGCAGCAGCATCATCAGCAACTGCATCTTGATCATCGTCGTCAACATCATCATCATCATCATCATCATCATCATCAGCATCATCAATAGCATCATCATCATCAGCAGCAGCAGCATCCTCATCAGCATCATCGCCATCGTCATCGTCAGCATCATCGTCATCAGCAGCAGCATCATGATCATCATCAGCATCATCATCGTCATCAGCATCATCATCGTCACCATCATCGTCATCAGCGTCAGCATCGGCATCATCATCATCGTCAGCATCAGCATCAGCATCAGCATCAGCATCATCGTCACCATCAACATCAGCATCAGCATCAGCATCAGCATCAGCATCATCATCCTCATCACCATCATCACCATCATCCGCATCAGCATCAGCATCAGCATCATCATCGCCGTCGTCGTCATGCCGAGCCATCTGAGAAGGCCCCTTCCTTCTCACATCCCCCCCGGGCTCGCCGTCGATGGGAGAGCTCGTGTCGTCAGATATCTGCGCTTCTGGGGGTCGCGGCGGCTCGTCCTCCAGAGGGGGGGAGGGGGTAACAGGCGATGTGTCGACCCCAATCCCAGGCTTTTAGAGGCGTCTGACTGGACCCAAAATCTGAGGCCCGACCCTGGGATCTACGAGGGGGGGGGGCGTCCATCCTCGACAAGGGCATCGTCCGACACGCACCCTTTGGGGCGTGTCCCAGGGTGTCCCCCCCTTTTCTCAGCCTCTTCATTCTCTCGTCTCGGCGGTGGACAAACCTCCCTTTGGTAAACCTCCCTTTAGTGAAAACGGCCTGGGACCGAAACCGACGGACCTGGACCCGCAAAAATACCGGCCGCGACGCCCCTCGCGAACCGCAAACGGCCAGTTCACTCATCGACGTGTCAGGGTACGATGTCTAGCAACCTTCGATCGTCGAAACGTCGGGGGAGAGAAACACACACACACACACACACGCACACGCACACGCCGCCCGCGCCAAGGGGGGGGGCCGCGGAGGAGCTGCCCGCGCGCGCTCCGCACCGCCCGCTGCGCCGAGTGCCGCGCCCGCGCCGGTCCGACGCGCGCGCGCGAGCGCCCGCGCTCCCTGGGAGCGAGAGCGCCGCGGCCGCCGGAGGGGGGCGCCCGGCGGCACGCCCACACCACGGGCTGTTGGCCCACGCGGGGGTGGCCTGCAGGCCGGAGCTTCGAGGCACCGGGAGCTCGGGCAGAAAGGGGCCCAGGGACACAGCAATGAGTGGACACGGATCCCAGGACTCCCCCTATTTCCCTATATACTTTCTGGTTTCGCGTCTTTCCCCCACTACCCCCACATGTTCGCATATTTTCCTGGGAGTCGACGATTAGTTGTGCCGGTGTGTTTCTGCCCATCCGGAGCAGTGGAAGCTTGGAAATGGGAACCACCACCAACACAAGAGCGCTGCCTCCACAAAAAAGTCGATCCGAGATTTTTGTGCTGGTGGCAATACTTCGGTAACCTATGGGAAGATAGGAAGCCCGAGTAGTCCCACACCATCGCCGAGATCGGGATCCTCTTCCCTCAGTGGCAGCACACCGCCGATACTGGTGCCTATGTCAACCTCTGGGCTTCCAGCAGATCCAGCCGTGACGACGAGAACGCCCCAGGACGAGACGGGCGAAACAACAAGACAACACGAGACGTTCCAGCTGGGCGAAAGGCGCCGAACGAAACGTAGATACCCTCGCAAATCGTACAGCAAGATCGCTCCACCGTCGGTGGCGCCCGCAGCGGCCAGGCCGATCCTGGGCTAGGCCCCGGATCGGCGGATACCCCCTCCTTTAGAAGGCAACTCACGGAAGCGTTTGGTCTTCCCCAAGGCACCCAATAGCGCGCCCTTTCACACGTACAGCAGACAGAATGCACCTCCCCGACATGACGCTATTGGGCGCTATTGGTTGCTACTCTGCGCTAGTTGAGCGCTTGGGCACTACTGGGCGCTATTGGCGGCAACCTGGGGCTGTTGAGCGCTATGGGCGCTTGTTGTAAATGTAGAATCCAAAAAGAGCGGAAACTTCCGTGCTCAGAAGAACTGAAAATGGCATACGCATAAACTTCGGAGGTCCGCACGGATTTGTTGGATCTGCGCTGAGCCCCCCTCCCTGGCGCGCGGAGCGCGCCAGAGGCGGCGCTGGAAGCGCCGCCAGGGGGGCCAAGCGCAGATCCAAGGTATCCGCGCAGAACTCCGAAAGTTCATGCTTCTGTTGTGTGTTCTTACTCGAGTGGTTCACTATCT